GTTAATCGGATCAGTGTTTCCGAAAAGGCCTATTATGCTCACATGTACTAAAAATAACGTCAATTTCAAAATGTCAATAGTTTTCGAGTTTTCCCTTAGATTTTCCCTAATCAAGAGTTTTCCAGTATCAATTCCAGTATTGAGTATGACATTTGACATTTGACTACGAGATCACCAGGCTGATGTACATTGTCTTTTTTCAATCGTGTTCATTAGAAAAAGATAAATAACAAACAGCTGGTGATCGGCTGTTGCAATCCAAGGAGAATACACACTTAGGGCGGCTTCTCGTGCAATTTGACATTTATGGCGTGACAACGTACCTGAATGCAGAATTCTGATTGGCCAAAATCCCGCCATATTGGATACGCTGACATTCTGCCGCAGATACGCCAAAAGTTGAGCAAAGTTCAACTTTTCGCGTAAAAATTCAGCGTTTTTAGCGGTTAATAGGTGACAACGGTTTCGTTTTCTTGATTTTTGTAATTATTTACTGTCCATATTTGTAACTATTTGGAAATAAAGCAAAAACAAATACAAATTACAATCAAAATTCAAGGAGATATTTCAAAATTTAGAAAAAGAATATAATTTAACATACGCGGGCGGCGTAAATTCTCCACTTCATGTATTCAGCATTTGCGCCAGTTATGTCAAGTTTACGCTCATGAAAAGCTGGCCTAATGCCTCATTCTGACTTGCGCGAAATTCGCTCTTTTTTGACATATCTTCGACAATTTGACGTTTCATGCTTGTATCAAACGTCAATTTGTCGATGCAATGTCAAAAAAGAACGAATTTCGCGCAAGTGAGAATGGGGCATAAGGAGTGCTTATCAGCCTCGTTTTTGGTAATCACCGTCTTAGGGAGGATTTTCATGCATCCGTTTTTCCGTCGAAATATGTCCGAAAAGTCTCCTATTTTGACATATTTAGATACGATTATGTCAGAATAGAATGTTAAACGGACATATTTCGTTGGAAAAACGGATGCATGAAAATCCTCCCTTATTGGTGTGATACCATTTCCGACGTCATAACTAAGGGCCGAATTTATAGTCGCTCCTTTAGGTTTCCTCAGACCTTAAGGAAACCTTGAACGTTTAGAATTGACATGACTTACTTGTCAAATAGTAACAAGTGTACATTCTAAGCTCACGACCTCCAAGGAAGACTCAAGGAACGACTATAAATTCGGCCCTAAGTCGTCAACTGTTTAAACAGCCTACGTCAAGGCAAGAAATGACATTCTGTTTACGTCACCACTGGTATTTTGGCGTGAGGGGGATTTGTTACACACAGGCCTTATGAGGATAAGCTATCCTGTAGTAGTAGTTGGCCTTTTCGGAAACGCTGATCCAATTAACCGGATCAACAGCTGATATCCTTTGTCTATTTTCAATTGTATCCATTAAAGGAAGATAGAAGACAAACAGCTGGTGATCGGGTTAATCGGATCAGTGTTTCCGAAAAGGCCTAGTTCATCATTCTTGGATAAAATCAGCATTTCTAAACGGCCTCTTGACAATTTTGACACGTGACGTGACATACATAATTCTTTTCTCAAAAGTTAGGCGCTTGCTCTTTGCTATGCCACGAGACATGGCTCTCGCGCTATTTTTACTCCCAGATCTATCAAATGCTCACAAATGTGAGCAAATGCTCACACATTGGTAACACTGCAAATAACCGGAACGACTGAACAATGGCCGCCTCACTGCACCGTCTTTTTTTATTTTGTGCATTTGAAGCGAGACGGAACTAGTTGGCTTTTTACACAGCCTACTTAGACGGAAAAGACTTGCGGAGAACAGGTGAGAAGAAAAAATAAATTTTTTCTACGACTGCTCTAGAAAGCACTACTAATTTACTTGGGAAATCAATAGACCTATCTATTTTACCAGACAAAGAGGTAATAATACGAAAACTTTATTAGATAGAAAAAGACGCAGAAGGCTTATTGCGCAAGACGAGGCAAAACGTACCAAATTATGTTAGATTTACGTATAGCAATCCGTTCTTGTTATTTGCACGGGTTAAAAAAGGAAGGAGGAAAACCGCGTGATGTGCATCGTATTTGTCATTCAAAAACACAAACAATTGAAAATAGATCACTTGTCAAGCTACGTCAAGTTAAATATCAAACATAATTTTATCCTTGTCAGACTACGGGCAATGAACAAGGACAAGGAGATACCCAGCGTGCAAAAGGATTATTTCACACCTGTACTAGTTAGCCAATAAAAATCCATTGCCTCGTGTTGCGCGCGCATACAGGTAAAAATAGATAGGTCTATTATTCCGTACAACGTGCGAAAAGTCCTTCTCATACGCTAAAATAAAAATGTCACTTTCACTGAATTTTTGTTCTGCAAACTCTAAGTGCATTCAGCGGACGTACCAACATTGTTTGTTAATTATAACCTCAAATTTTTAAACAAAACAAAAAATATTAAAAATCTCAATGTGAAGATAGTTATTTTGCAGTCGTAGAAAAAGTACCTATATAATGTGTAACGGGTGGGAAAAGTGCTGTTTTCAACACCTATTACAGAATATACTATTTATCAATAAAGCCCCATTTGCCCCAAAAACCTGTTGTTGGCGATTTTACCTCTCAAGGGTCATCGACTTTTATAGTGATTTTGTATTGAAAAAATAAACAAATATATTATATTGTGTATTTAGGTGGAAAAGTGACACATTCTCGGCCGATGGTGTAAGTTGGCAAACACCGAAGGCCGAGAATGTGCTTTTCCACCGAAATACACATACTATTTTTTCTGCGATCGGTTAAATACCTGTTAAATGTTTGTCTTTTAGTTCCAATTATTCAGCAATACGAGAATCACTTTCCCGGCCTAGGCCGGAAAAGTGTTTCCCGTATTGTTATTCATTGATTCCTTAGTAACTATTGAAACATAATTGAAATACCAGAATATTGAGTTTTGCGACCTGTCAACTGGTCAAAAATGCTGACATTTCTAGTCAATCGCAGAAAAAATGCGTTGTGAGTCCGTAGGTATATTGCGTTTTTGATGATTTTTTCTTTCGATACAAGGTTTCCACAGAAATCACAAACCAGTCAGAGCGAATTTCATTGGTTGAAATGTTGAAAATAGTCAGGAAACTGATTGATGGCGATTAGGACCAATGACCAATCAAAAACGCTGTGACTGGTTTATGATTTCTATACAAACAGACCTAAAATTGCCAATAACAATCAATTTTACCAATTAGGTACCTATTAAGACGATCTTATACCTTTCTATGTAACTTCAATCGTTTTTCAAAAAGTAGTATAGCAAATAAAATCTATATTTACAAAATAATAACGAGTTATGTCGATTTTTAATTTACCCTTTATCCCATTTATCTTCTCTTTGGGTACTCCTAACCATAATTACAATATGTATGTAGAGAGAGTACCTCTACGACACCCACGCCATCAAGTGTTGCATAAAGACAATAAAAATTTAAATAACTACCCGAGAGAGGAGAGTACAATAGCCGCCGTACATGTGTAAATAAACTATGCCGTTTAATAATTTTTTCTTGAATATAATCTCAACTTCTTTAATAAAAATTACACAGCATTGTATTGTTTGTCTTATTGCTCCGTATAATTTTGCTATTATGTTAAGTGCCGTATAATTTGATGATGCTAGTAAGTAGTTTTAAGTCACGATTTTTTTCTCTAAAATTTTTCTGCAATTAAGACTGATTATGTGAGCCGAAATGGTCGGTCACGCTGCAAAGAATTACCGTAATTTAATCTGTGCAGAGTGTGCCAATAAACCGCTAAAATAAAAACAAATAATCACTATTATTGTTTTATACGGTGCGAAGAACAATGTTTTGCAACATTTTCAATTTTAATTTAATTTACAGTTTTGTTTAATAATAATTTATTGTTGTAAATTGTTCAAAAGTGATTGTGTTCTTCTTTGGTTAAATATCGCGTGACTTTTTGCAATTATTTAACTTTATAATGGGTGCATGAACAACACAATACAATAATTATACATGACATTTTTTTATTTTTTATTTTAATGGATCTACTATACATTTAAAAACCATGAAGGTCGACATAATGATAATGATATATGTACACCAATCAAAATAATTGCTCTACAATGAAATTTGATGTTTATGGTTCAGTTGGACCTACATAATACATTATTGCAGGAAAAAATCTAATCTTTTGAACGTCATGCGCCATTCATTCGGGCTAATAACGACCAGCAAATTCGCCAATAAATAAATGGCTCCGGCCGATAAATTTTAAAACGAGGTTTATATATGCATTTCGTTTCACAGACAATTACCCACCACCGGTGTTACGACATGAATGTGTTGATGTGAAAACACTACTACGGTTTCTAATTGACCATAACTTACCAAGAATTTAACAACCATCCAGAAATGGGATTTTCGTTTTTTTTTTTTTTGTTTCACTGGAATAACTGTTTGGGAAATAAAGTATTTCTAAAATAATTCTAATAACCAATCTGTTTGTTGTAGTATGTTTAATTCAAAAACTTTTACTTCACAACCCCCTATACCAAGGGGTATAAATACCACCCGCCCAAATTTGTGCAAACAATTTCTCAAACAACCCACAAGTGTTAAAATCAATAAATTCCCTCAATTTATTATACATTTCTCCAATTTGCCATAAATTCCTTAAAATTGCCGACAGTATTAACAAAGAATTCCTTAATGGTTTGCCCCTTGCCCTATACCCTATACCTTTAGTATTCAAAAATGAATCTTCAAACATTATTTTGCATACAAATGATCAGTTTTGATTTGATATAAAATTCCGCATCAATAATCAAATTATAATTTACCAAAAAGGCCTTTGAGATAGTGTGGGGCCCGCATATAAATAACAAAATTATCTTTGTTCTCTGGTTGTCCTTGATGACATTGACCCTCATCACACCATAATGAAAACCGTCTTTAGTTGTTGATTATGTTTTATTTTATTTTTTTCAGATTGAAATTATTATTATGGACTTTGCCTGATGAAAAAAGACGCAATTAAAATGTTCGAGAATCTTCTCGAACGCATCACGAGTCCGAATTCGCGCAGACGCAACACTTATCATTGTCCGGAAGGACATCATTCCGATCCAGAAGACACACCAACGACGCCTTCTAGAAAACCGAGGTTGTTGGAAAGAAGGAAAAAGGGACGAAGGCTGGACAATGGTTTGAGGCAGGCGAGAAGTCTGGGAAGACTTGATGGATTGAAAGAGGTAAGTGAATAATTGCATATTATGTGCGTTTTAACCCTTCCACCTACCTCCCCATTTTGGACCCACACTCCGAATTTTTGGCATATTTTGTGGATTTGACAGATTAGCGAAATGCCATTTATAATAGCTGTTTATTATTGCAGTATACACGTGTATGCAGATTGTAGGTGATGTTGTTTAATTTATCTAATTTTTATTTACAATAATTGACGAAGGGTACATTATGTACCCCGGTTGTAGTAAAGCAGAAAAACAGATTATTCTTGATTACACCTCTACAAAAGGGGGTGTTGATACTTTGGATCAACTTATAATACATATATAACAACATATAATAATGATAATAATAATTAAAAAAATAATAAATAACAAATAATAAATTCTAGGACAGTTCTGTGTTCTATGGAAGGATTTGGAGCCTACACACCAAAGCTAGCGCTCGAACTTTTGTTTCTCAAAATTATGTTTTTATGTATTTTTTTTATTGTTAAAGATGTTTCCTGAATGTATATCTATTATTTATTTGATGATGGCATAACCTATTCCACTAAAACATTCACTTTAATCGTGGGTACAAAATGTACCCAGGTTATCAAAAAACGTGCAAAAAAAAGCTTGTAGGTTGAAGGGTTAAAGCCACAACTTCGCAAAAAATATAAACACCCAAGGTATATGAATTATATTTTCGATTCAGAAACTTGTATTTTAAAAAACATTCATTTTATTGATTAAAATACAGAGGTGACAAAAGAAAATATTCGGATCAAATTGCTACAGGCTAAAGCCAGAAAACAAATAAACGCTCCTTATGGGACGGCATCGGCTTAAATAAACATTTAATGCTGACATAGCAATTTGATGTTTACTTCACAACAATGTATTTAAAAAGTCCTAGAGGAAAGGGGTAAGCACATTAAAGCATATAAAAAATAGATAATTGATTATAAATCAGCGTGGCAATTTGTTAATATAACTCCTCCCTCCTTATAAGATGTTGCAAACGTGGATTGTTGTGAATTCAAATCAGACAATTCAATTTGCACATTTGCACAACCTTTTTCTGAAGTTTTATATTTCCTAAAACAGTAAAACAATAAAATTAAAAATAAAATAGCAAGACTTAAACCTATGATTACATATGTGTTTAAATAAGAGTGTTCAAAAGACAATTCTTTTAGATTATGAACTCTTATCTGTTTGGTCGTCTTGACGGCTTCTTCTAAGTCTTCTTGGTTGATTTCTTAAAGTTCCAATGTTGTTGCGTTCTCTGGAAGTTCAGGGATGTCTATTCTTGGAATCTTCAGTTCAAAATTGAAGTTCTCGCTGGTTTTTGAAAATGTTTGATTTTGTATTTTCACAAAGCATTTCTCAAAAGAAACTAGCGTTGGATTGGTTAATTTTTCCATATGGTTTGTCTTGTCACATTGAATAACTATAGTCAGACTTTTCTTAGGGATGACTAATATTGTCAATGCGGGAGTTGTCTCACTGTTGGTTTTTCATATTTTACTTTAGTGAAAGGACATTGTTGTGGTAGGTCAGTAATCAGGTCGTAGACACATGATTCTTCTTGCTTCAGCTCTTCTTGGTTACACTTTCGACTTTCGGGCATTCCCATAACGTATTGTAGTAAATGTCCGTAGTAAGTAATAGGTAAGGGTACTTATTCCTAATGGTAAGTTCTTGGATAGGAATTGGATAGATTTTATACAATATAAAGGGCTTGGGATCAATCATTGGTGTGTGTATAACAAATATAATTAACTCATTTTGGATTTTTACTTGAGTTTTCATTGTCTCATAATACTTGATTTTATTATCAAAAGTTATTTGCTCACTTTTGGGTATATTTGTTAATATTTGATTAAATTCATTATGCTGTAAAATAGTATAATGCATTATTCCCAATTGTGCAAAATTTATTGCTAATTGCACATGATCAATAAGATTCCTTATTTTATTACTTTGAATATTGATATTGTCCAATATTAGATTGAAAGTTAACATTGAGTGGAAATTTTGGTTTTCCAAGGAAATATTTTGTAATTTTCCTGGGATAACCTTTTGGTTAGATTCAATAGTTAAAAATTGATCGTGAAATGTTTTTGTAACTTGTTTCAATACTTGAGCTTGTGTTTTTAGATCTTCATTGAAAGTTTTTTGATTATCATTAAGCGTCTGGATATAAGAATCATATCTTGCGCCGTCTTCAGCATCTAGGGTTCCGTAGAGCCATTTTTGTGCTGTGCCCATGAAATTTAATAGACCTCTTTTAATAAGTTTTCGGTCTTGATAGGTTCTGATTACTTGTTTCATAATCTTAATTTGAGAATGACTGTTTTCAATGTTTGTTTGAAACAGTGCAACAAATTGGTTTGTCCATGTTGTTTTGTTAAGAATGTCAGATAATTTCATTAAGGTAATTTCCAGTTTATGGATACTTTGAATGATAATTGTTGTGTTTATGTGATAATAGGCCGTGTTCTGTTGAGTTGTTACGTAAGTAGTTCCTATAGAAATTGGTAAAATAGGATTTTCTACCGTTATCAATGTGTACGCAACGAGAGTTAGGAATACTAAAGGATTCATCTCGGAGTAGGTACCTGAAATAAATTATTGTCGTTTAACATTTTGTTTAGCAAAGCGATTCTGTGTTTTGCTATCATAACGCGGACTTATCTTGTCTCTATTAAATTGTTTTACAAAGATTGGATCTTGTAACTCTGGTTCAGGTTCACGATTTTTATTACGTGATTCTAAAGACTTTGTTTGTTTCGCTGATAACTTTTCTTGAATTTCTTTATTCAAATTTGCAAGGGATTCTGCCAAACTTGTTATATAGTCAGTTGTTAGTTTATTTTCCGTTTTTTCAATCGATATGGCATGATTTAAATCTCCTTTAATCACTTGAAAAGGGGTGTGATTCATTGTACTATGAGTACTGTTGTTATAATTCAATATAGTGATTGTCATTAGATCAATAATACTCTTATTCGGGTTTTGGAGTTTTAAACTCGTTTTACTTTCATGTAGTGTCGAATGGAATCGTTCGATTGGACTATTCGAGTTCGGATTTCTTGGAGTTGTGTAATGAAACTCAATTTTGTATAACGTACAAAGATCTGTCATTATAGCATTTTTGAACTCTGCTCGATTATCTGATGTGATTTTTTTGAGGTATTCCATGATCACTAAAATATTTCAATAACTGTGATGATATCTCAACAGCTGTTTTCGTATTTACAGGAGAGGCTTGACCAAATTTTGAAAAGCTATCAATAATGGTCAGAAATTTCTGGTTATTGATTATATACGTGTCAATATAAATGTGTTCAAAGGGTTTCATACCAATGGGTGTTGGTTTGAATATAATTTTGTATGGTTGACGTTCATACTTGGTTTTATTGCATATTTCGCATACTTTGACATAATTCTGTACGTCTTTCTCGATATTGGGCCAATAGAATCTTTTTTTTAAGGCTGCAATATTTTCAATGATTCCTCTATGAGAGGTTTTAGTCTCATGATATTGCTGAATTTTCTCTTGTTGAAGATCAACTTCTGTGATGTCTTCTAATAAAGAGTTCGAGATGTACAAAGTAAATGAATTCGAATTAAACGATTCTTGTAATGCTCGTATCACAATAGGTTCTAAAGATTTATTTAGGAAATGAAGGCAATAAATACCAGGTGGCATGTATTCCTTTATTAAATTAGTAATTTGTGATGTTGTTGGATTTTTTGGTAAGAAGAATATTATTCTCTCTTTATTACCAAATAGTTTGATTATCTCTTTTCTAATTGTGTTATTATTGGAATATCGAAATACAATTTGATTTCCAAATACATTTACATGTTTCTTAGTATATTATGGAGCTCCTAATATTAGATTTTCCATAGACGTATGTATTGTTTGGTCATTTTCAGACAAGGCTGAAATTGTTAAAGAACGATTGGTTGGTGTTATTTGTCTATTACTTTTTTGAGTTTTCGAAGATTCTCCGATTTCTATGGGAATTTCTTTTTTCTTTTTTCTTGGAGGTATTATTAGTTGTGATAATATCTTTATTTTGGGTTTTACTTTCTTGGGTTCCTCTTCAGGTTCCTTTTCTGATGCTGTCTTTGTTGATTGAGATGATTCAGACATTGTTATCTCTTTCTCTTTAGCTATCTCGCTTTGTTTAGGAAGATATACTTTAGAATCTGTAAAGTATTTTGCTATGATTTAATCATTACATAATGGTGTATCTTTCAGCATTAATGCTAATTTTTTATGAAATTCTTCATCTGAAAATGTTAATCTGGCATCTGGATCTGATTTTTGAATGGCATGAAGTTGTATTGCAGGATTTCTTGATAGTGCGTCTGCATTCATGTTTAATGTTCCTTTTTTGTATTTGATCTCATAATCAAATTCAGATAGTTTTAGTCGCCATCTGACTAGTTTAGAACTTGGTTCTTTAACATTAAATAGCCATTGTAGAGGTTTGTGATCTGACAAGATTGTGAATTTTCTACCAAAAAGATAAGGTCGAAAATATTTTGTTGCCCATACGATTGCTAAAAGTTCTTTTTCAATCGTCGAATAATTACATTCAGCTGGGTTTAAAGTTCTTGATGCGTATGCAATGGGAAGATCAGCTCCGACAAGACCTTGAGATAGAACGGCTCCAATTGCATAGTTTGAGGCATCGGTTGTCAATAAGAAAGTTTTCTTAAAGTCAGGATGTTGTAATATTGGGACATTTATTAATACATTTCTGCAAGTTTCAAAGCTATTAAGAAATTCTGCATTGTGTATTATTTTTTTGTCTTTTTTCAAACAAGATGTCATTGGTTTGGTCAATTTGGCAAAATTCTTTATGAATTTTCGGTAATAACCTACTAATCCTAGAAATGATTTTATTTCCTTCACCGTCTTTGGTATTGGGAATTTTTTTATTGCCATTATCTTTTTTGGATTTGGTTTTATTCCATTTGGTGTAATTACATGTCTTAAG